GTCGATGCAAGTGTATTGTTTCATGACTGAAAAGCATGGCTTAAATTTAAAGTTATATTTAAGTTTGATTTTAATATTGTATTATTAAGATTTACACAGTGGATCAATATTTTTTAAACTCCAGTTTGATACTTAAAATGTTAGCCTGCATGTGAACTGTTTTACAAGACTCCGATATGCAGATTTGAATCGTAGAGCGTTTTCTTTTAAAGATTTTACGTGTCTGTCTGTATATATATGTGTGTGTGTGTATATATATATGAGAGAGAAGATTAAGGATGTGTGAAAATATAGCGTTGGGCTAAAAAATTGAGGGGGTTACCAATTTTTAAATGACTATTGCGCGTGCTTTACATACACTTACTCTTTAAGCTGTTCGACATTTCTGTGTTATGTATCACGTCACCTGCATATTTTATAAAATGAAGTTATGTCGTTTTAAACGTGATAGTGTAAGTTGATAGCCTAGGAGTGTATATTTTAGGGTTCTGGTTCTTATCAATTAGGTTGGCTGTACAAGGCTAAGAGAATATCGCATATCTAATTAGATTCCTTGAGTTGAGACCATGGACCATACCTTCATAAATTATTTAATTGGTATCCTCATTGGCATGTAATCTTTTCTCGGCAATCGTTCCGAGCCGTAAGAGCTTGCCGCCTCTCTGTAGGGGTGGGGGGGCATATGTTCTGTATTAGAGGAACGTGCAAAAGGGTTATCAGATTAGACATTAGAATGCACTGGACGCACTCCTGTGAGGACCATAAGTGTATTTAGTTACTAAGTAGAATATGAAACTCCGATATCTTTCTTGGTCCTTCATCTGGAGAAGTTCCCCCGGTCGGACAGCGGTAAGTCTAAGGATTTACAACACGAATATAAGGGGTTCTATTCCCCTCTGTGGACACAGTAGATAGCTCAATGTGACTTGGCTCTAAAACGCGCGCGCGCACATACGCACTCACTCATCTGGAAAAATAGCAATAAAGACGAGTTGTATTCACACAACTAAAGTTCAACTTTAGTTGTGTGATAATAAGACAGGTTTAAACCTTTGACTACCAAACGTGTCTTAAATAATTAAATCTGTTAATTATGTGGAATAATATTAGTGTTTATTGGGTAAGATAATTAGTTTCAAGAAACCATTCAATCGAAATAATATCAAACTAAGTATTATCTTACCATAATTAATGCTAATATGTTTTATTTTAAATTTTTTAGACACAAAAAATGCTTTCTATTAGCTCCTTTGTTTAGGACACGTTTTCACGCTGTTAAAAAAACTGGTGACGAATGTTTACAACATAAGAATGAATTTCGTAATGGTACACCAGTAAACAAACTAGACTAATGCAACGTAGGGTATGTACTTTCAAAGAATGTCCTGGAAGGATCAACGGGTTTCTTCCACTTGTCTAAGCTTGTTTAGAGGCCACTTTTTGATTTGTTATCGTATATTTTTATCGGCTCCTCCATCTAAAACTTCATAACTCGTATTGCTTGTTTCGTATCGAAAGGCATGTTGTGCATACACGTACAAGTTATTATTTGTAGACTTAAGAATAAATCAACAGGTTTGGTTGTCGTGTACATACTCTATATTATCACAAGTGCTGTAGTGGTACGGGGGTGTATATTTCGCTGCTAGAGATTCATTTCAATAGAGATTAAACCCATCTTTGGTGTGAATTGTAAATTAAAGACTATAATAATCATTGCCACGAATTGGTGGAATAGACACGGTAATACTTGGAAGCTTATTCCTCCTATCTACTGTATTGTACATCATCATGTTGATATATGTATTGAATTTTCCATTAATCTTAAGACAGTACAGCATCGTTCATACTTCCCCAGTGGCCCGTCATGGCCTAGTGGTTAAGACGCTTGATTCACAATCTTGGTTCGAATCTCCGTCCCATTAAACATGCTTGCCCTTTCAGCCGTGGGGGCGTTAAATGTGACGGTCCATTCCACTATTCGCTGGTAAAAGATTAGCCCAAGAGTTGGCGGTAGTGGTGATGACCAGCTGCCTTCCCTCTAGTCTTACACTGCTAAATTAGGGACGGCTAGCGAAGATAGCCCTCGTGTAGCTTTACACGAAATTCAAAAACAAACGAACAAACTTCCCCAGTGTAACAAGGAATTTTAAGGGTCTCTTAACTATTGTCAGTTGACCAAAGTCCAACTCTGCTAATGCGGATCCATATTATGATACTATTCCTACCAACCACCATATTTTGGAGAACACAACCATATCCAAAGTGTTGTCTATGTTGCTGTTAACGCATGATTCGTTCATTCAAAACCAACGAGTAGCGAAGTTTATCGCTCCACGTGATGCTTTTATCGTTCGTCACCCTAGTTTTGACGCTCACTGTACTGACTTTATGTTCCTTTTTGCTAATGGGTGCATAATACACGTGAAATCCAGCAACAAGAAGTTCTATGCGCACAGCGATATGCTGATACACGGTTTTGAAATTTCATTAAAGTCTTGGGTTGTGGATTTAATGCCAACTGAGCGGGTTTTGTTTATAGCATTTCAAATTTCGCATGAACCGAAAAATGATTAATTTTGGGTAGCTGATTTAATATTCTCCATAAGCAATACGATAGTTTTTTTCTTAGTTGCACGGTATGAACAGTGGATTCAGGTATAAGTGTGTGGTGTTTCAGACACTCATCAGTGCTACATCAAAGTTCGCGTGAACTCCTTTTCACATGTTATCTTAATTGGCGCTAACAGTCTTTTGCTTATGTGTAGCAGGTATTAAGGGGGCAGGTGCCTCACTGGCGGCCAAAGATATAAACCATCCTTTTCACCCCATTCTGACCGCCTTTGGCAACGGCTGACCTTTATAAGCCCTACACGTCAGTGCATCATGGTATTTACACTCAGATTCAGTGGGAACAGTCTACTGATTTGTAGACAAGAATAGCGCACACCACTACATATTAATTATATTAGGCTATTGCATGGGGGTAAAGTCACCGCAAGGCTGTCCACGACCACCTTACCACACCCCCTAAAAAGCCAATCCCACTAAATTATGTCATGACTATTATTCCGTAGTGATTTAATCAAGATGCCTTGCTATTCGACCTTTGGATGAAACAACATATCTACCAAGGGATGTCACAAGATCTTCCGCTTGTGAATACTTATTTTAGGTTTATTACATATCAGTTAAATGAATTTTATCAACTTTAATGTAGAGAGAACAGATACTGTAACGCACACACACACACACACACACACACACACACACACACACACACACACACACACACACAGTGATCAGTGGAACAGACCCATTGTTGTTTGGTGGTGTATAGGGGTACATTTGTTTGTATCGAAATTTTAACAAGTTTGTTGATTTACGTATACTGAACAGACTAGTGTTCATAGAAGTGTATTTATATAAATATGGACAGTTTTAACTGCATAAGTTTGTGTTTATATTGCAGGGAGAGCATATAGCATCCTAAAAACAAGGTCAACACAGCTTGATATTCCTTTGCAACCACCGAACATATTTATAGCAGTGACGATGTCGAGCCTGTTCCTGATATATTGTAGAAAACTGAATGTGTGTGTGTGTGTGTGTGTGTGTGAAAGCTGAAACAGTGGCAGTCTTTCTGAAGTTCAGTTTGATTACATTCATGGACATCAAAAACTAGTTTTATTATGAATTAACTCCTAAGCCTTTTCTAATTGTTTATTTGTATGTATTTAAGTTGTATGTGTGGAGGGGGCCATACCCCCTTGAAATGTCGCTAGCCTCCTAAGCTAATTGTGTTCATTAATCTAATTTTAGATTTGTCCCCATTATATGTCTTATTGTCCTGTCCTCCATAGGTTTATATAAGCTTGTAATAAATCATCGTAAGTAAATATATTCAATTCATCTATATTGTGAAATAATGATGATAAAAAAATTATGTATGTAATAATTTTAGTAATATAGTAGTAATAATAGTAAAATTTTAATGAAAGAATACCAGGTAGGACCAAAGTTTTATAAGAGAGAAAGAAAAAAAAAACAACTCTGACTTTGATTTTCACACATTTTTATTGTACATTAGCGTGAAACACTAACTTTGGGGCAACTCTTGTAGTGTCATTCTTGTTCGTAATATTTTACGGGTCACAGTGGTTACTAAAGGTCTGTCATACAGTGCGAGTGTTGACCGTGCCACACAGATGTCTTCTTTGAAAGGTATACTCAACGTTTCGGTGCTACTTGAATTACTGAGGGCGTCAATGTTTTTAATTTTTTTTTATGAAGTATGAAACTAAAACGCTACTTGTATGATTCTTTTGATGTGTGCTGATGAAGAGAAATACGGTTGAGAGGATGAAAAAGTATTTTATTTACATGACTCGTCGAACATTTCAGATTGTATTTATTCCATCATCAGCGAAGTGCGAAAATAAGATGTGTGTACAAATAAGGTAATTTTTTAAGACATTGGAGAATAACGAAGCTTAAAAAAACAAGATTGAAGGACCAAGCAGCACTAACGTGTGTGTGTGTGTGTATAAACAATATGGCAAACATAATATAAAAAAAAAAATGCAAACTGAAAATAAATACTAATTACATAGTCACAATTCAGGATACACGAGCCACAAACTGGTGGTTGTTCTTTTATGGATTAAAACAGTTTTAGTTGGAAGGATGTCTGTAGATTATTAATATCGTGGTGCCTCTTTATAACTGGGTCTTCCTTAATGAGAAGTTCAAGGTCTGTAAACCCGGTTGTAATGATGATAAAGTTGTTAATTGATACGTTATGGCCCGTTTTTTGTTGTTGTTGTTTTACTTTCTCATTTTATATATATGTTTGTGAATAAAGCACGTCGAAAAATCCTGGCGAAGTTTGTATTTTTTTCATTAAATAATTTTTCTGTTTAATCCCAGTTAGTGAATATATATATATACAACTTATCAGTCAGTTTGATATACATATATATTTTTTTCATTTATTCTAGAGCCAGCGCCATGTATTGCTTGTAGCCAGCCAGATACGTACGAAAACATGATTGACAACTTTTGTCGAGCAGATTTTGGTAAGTTTTTCGCTTACAGATGATTTTTCTTTGACGTTTGACTTTGCTTAAGTGCAAGCCCGGCCTGAGTAGCCCTGGTATTGAACAAAAGACCTCGTCGGCACTGGATATAGCAGATATAATGTAGTTGACATTCTTTTTTCTTTATGTTCTTAGAATCGCAACTATATGCTTTTAACTTACATTTTTCGTAACTTCAACACTAGTGTGGCTTCATCGTCTTTGTTCTGTAAACGTTTCCACAACCTCTTGTTCTCTTCATATTCGTCTTTGAATTCAGTTTAACAGCCACATGCTCCTTTTCTTAACAATCCTAGTGCTTGTCTTCGTCCTCTTTATCTATTCAACCCAGGTTTACCTTTACGCCCATAATCTTGGTATTTAATCGTAAACCCGAGCTGGACGTGGACTAGTGGTTAGTGTCCCTGACTATGAATCTGAGGATCCATGGTTTGCGTCTCATTGCCGCAACATTACACTCCATACTTTGGGGCCGTGAGTACATTATAAGAGTGACAGTAAAATCCTACTGGTCGATTAGATTAGCCAAAGAGTTGGCGGTGAATGCTGTTGACTAGCTGCCTTCCTTGCAGTCTGTATATCAGTTCAAAATTTGGGATAGCGGAGAGATCAATTTTATAGCTTGGCGCGTGCTGCTCTCATGTGCTCGTTTGCACATCCACGTGCTCCTCTCCCAGTTTGACTCAACGTTATTGACATACACAAATGCCCTCTGTCATTTACTGTACGTTAAAAAAAGCGTTTCTCAATAGCATCTAAGATTCATCGTGATATTTAGCTTCCTCTGAAAAACAACAACAACAACAAAAAAAAAGACCAAATTTAATTATTTTCAAGACATTTATGAAACTTCTATTTGGGTGACGTTTCGGCTATAAACTCATTCTACACAGAATCGGTGTTTCGCTGACACACACACACACACACACACACACACACACACACACACAC